AAGGAATTGCGCAACGAGAACGAGATATTATCCTCTCAATGCAAGATGTAGAACTTCAGATGGCCGGGTTGAAACCTCTTGCTGAACCCTCGCCCTTATCTCAATATCACGCTTGCCTTCAGAGCTTGAACGATTTGATCGAAGAATATCCTAATTATGCCAGTGCGAGGAATAATAGAGCACAAGCATTACGACGAATTTATGGTGATTTAATGTTGGTGAAGAGATCCTCTCGCGAAGGATCTGGAACTGATGTAAACGAGCCATTGGATACAGAAGCATCTGAGCCTACCATAAAACTTGCATCATTCAACGCCTTATCCGATCTTGATAAAGCAATTTCACTGTTAGCTCCAAAGACGCCTTGGGCATCGATATCTCCTCAAGCAGCAAAGACACTCTCCCAAGCCTTAACGCAACGAGGTGCTTTATATCATCTGTCTGCTAAACAGCTTTCTTCTGACACTGAATCGAGGGTGAGCATTGATGAGAGGAGAAGGGAGGCGAAGTGGAAGACGATAGAATTTGAGGAGGCAGCATCAAGAGATTTCATGACAGGGGGAAGATATGGTAATGAGATTGCAAAGGCACTAGCAGTGAGTGCGAATCCGACGGCAAAACTTTGTGGAGATATGGTCAGGCAGGCAATGAAGAGAGAAATGGATGGCGGTGAAAGCTGAATGAGAACATTGCTGTAGTAACTTGCTTGAGGCAAGAAATGAGGAATGATTGTATCTAATAATGAAGGCAAAGGAGTTTCACGGTTCACGGCGGGGAATCCATAGCGTTATAAATATAATACCAATCTTTTGGCTTAGAGAAGACTCCGTCAATGAATCTTCTGAAGTATGTAGTGGCTAATCATCTCAACTTACTTGCTATTATGACATTGTAACCATTCTTGAGAACGTCATTAGCAATTGACAGTATTCAACTTGTAGAGGACCTTCTTGCAGTAAGAAAATGAGAATCTTACCCATGTCATTGAAGTTGTTCGCCCCGGGCTTTTTATAATCAAGACTAATCGATTTCAGCGTCAATGTTCGGATTTAATCCTCCTAGAACACTGAACACAAGCAGTAGTTCGGCTTCGACACCCGAGTTGAACCAAAACAGTAAAACATCGGAATATCTGCAGTATCTCTTCTTTGTAACTCCTTCTCGGTAAGGATCGTGATCACCCTCGTTTTAGCCATTCCTAGATGATGAAAGAGGCAAAACAACACTAAATATTGCCTTTCACTTATCCGGTCACTCGTGCACCAACCAAAGTGTCAGTGACAATCACGTTGTGCCCATAGTATCAGCAGCGACTACCCGTGTGGTTCCTGACCACACGCACCGAGCCTGAAAACCAACGGGTGGCTGCTCCAAAATTTCCCGAAATACTGTGGCCGAGATTGATATGACATATTTTCCAGTTCGGATGACGATTCTCAGTATTGAATTTCGAAGATCTTAACTTTCAAATCTTCGCCAAACAGGTATCTGACTTACTGAGAAATGAAGTGGTCTGATGTGATTAAAGTAATAGGGGCAGAAGTCCAACATGGACATGGAATGAGGTGATTAACAAGACGGTTTCAAATGCTGGCATTCAACGAGTGGGGGATTAGCTGAGGTTAGCATGAATATGCAAGTGGAATATTTAGATGTAGTTGCGCGGGTGGATACAGCAAAGCAGGTTGGAAATGACTTGCTTTGCATATCCACAAGTATGGGATCAAAACTTTCCTCTCAAGTCCGACGGAAATAGGCATGATGAATATGGAAAAAACGAGTTTTCCCTTGAATAAAATCTGACAGAGCTTGTTTTCGCTGATTAGATGGAAAGGATGTAATTAAAAGTAATGAAAGAGTCAAATGATACGGCACGTTCTTTGGTAGTTCAACGTGTCAACAAGAACTCAGCTCCAATGCCAATCATCTTCTGGTGACACAGTCGATGCATGTTGTGAAACCCAACTTTATTATAAACGTACGATATGTGACGCTTATGGAAGTACTCAAGATGTACCATGGCTACCAACTTGAAATTTTGAGCAGCTGGTAAGCCCGCCATAGATAGATGGAAGGCGCTTAGCGGTTTCAGCAAATCATTGATTCTCGCCAGGCCATATCGATATTTGGAAAGCTTGATTTGCTATTCTCACCTCGAGGGATAGACCTTTCAAGGCGAAATTAATTCATTAAATCGATTTAAACATATAATGTCTGGTGATAAGATACATGGATTCCTCCAAATACCAGCAAGAACAATGCAGCCCTGTGGACAATACAGTTGACCCAGGGCACGCGAAGCAAATCAGATGAGCAGTATATGAATGATGGTAAATGACGAGAACGGCAGTTGGCGATCTTGGTTAGATCTGAACCACCGTGCAATCTGCGACTAGGGTTTTGTGATATTGATCAATGAATGGGTCATGCTGGAAACTTTTACCGGCCGACCAAAAAGACGATGAGTCGCACAGACTGCGCCCACAAAAGCCAGCTTCTGGCTCGATACTACCACACCAAAATGCAAAGGGAGATAATTGTGCCACTCGTGATATGCATTTGAGTGGCGTTCGTCCAAAGGCGAGACGGACTGCTATGAGATATATTTGGGAACCCCGGTCTCGTATGCATGCAACAGAAGCGGAGCAGGCGCTTTCACCCCGATGTTATTGGAGGATCAAGCCTGTCGCACACTGCACAAAAAGAAAAGCTCCCGAGACAGTTTCCCACCACCATGGTGGGTGGTCCATTGTGGCGTGTTACCTGCTCTGCTGCGGTTTCCAGAATATGAACCAATGGGGTGAACGTGCATTATTTTGGTAACGAGGTAGGACTAGAATGTGATCCAACATCCCAAAGAAAATTTCTGCACTGCGTTGACAGGTTCCGATGATGGGTTGGCCGGCATTTAGGATGCCATGCCATGCCATGCCAGCTTCTGAGCGGGGCGTGGATTTCAAGGAGAGGAGTCCAATAAGTCCAATATTACAGCACATGTTGGCAAGCATTATTTTTGAGTCGAGAAATGAAGAGTAAGAAATTAGTTAATTGGCTAATTGATATTGTGATGTTATGTGATGTTATGTGATGGAAAAATCTGTTCCGTACATTTGAGTCGGGTCGATATCGGGTAAAGTGTACGTGTATATGGTAAGTACATAGCTCGAGTAGGTATATGTCTGTCGGGAATAAATCTTGGATTTTAAACGGTTGTATTACCCCAACCTCTTTGCCGTCTTTAGTCTTTAGACTCTTTACGGATTAAGAAAGATCCTTCATCCATGAAACACCAAGTCACTCCGTAGATTCCTTTTTCTCAGACCATTTGGTGGTCAAGCCATTAATTTCTTCCCAGACCAATGGAATGGAACATGGATCAAATAGTTTCTCTTTACTTTCTTTACTTTTTGTTCCCCACGCACGCGATAACACAGGCATAGATACTCATTTCGTTGCTAATTGTCCGCGACTTCTTCGGCACGATACAAGTGTAAGAGAACTAGAGAGCCGATACCCTCCGTGATCCTGATGTTATGTAGCCTGTAGGTAGTTAAGCGTAGGTAGGTATTGCAAGTGCTGGCCAATGGTGATCAGCATCAGGATTCGGCATGTCTAATTTACCAAACGACTGGAATTCAAGGACCCGAAACCTCCTCTCTTAAGTGAAATCTGATTTGGACGGACTTCGGATTCAGTGGATATTGCGGAAGACTAGCAGACTATATCACATAATAAGCATTATTATTTGCAGATTAGATTGAGCTTTTGTATGCACATCTTGGAAAGCTGAGTGGTGATCATAACATCCAATTGATTTAAGGATTCATCACGGGTAATCATCGCAATTGTCGCAATCAAGTCATTTAAATATTTATTCATTTGGTCGGATTCGTGGAGATCGTTGCCCGGGCGGGGCATAGAAGATTGGTGACGCCAGCGGAAGGGAGACGAATAATACCGGTTCGAGTAAAGTAGGTTCCGGATTTTTGATCATGGAATTGTGGATTTCTGTCCCGCGCATTCCTGAATACCTCGATCGGGGTACATGTCCGTGGCATGCGAGTTCTTTTCAGGACTAGCCTCCCGCGTAGCTAATCGCATGATGCCTACTTTAGTCCTATTGGATTTACCCGGGCTAGGGGCGCCAGGAAGGAACAGTAGGCTCTCAAATGAATGACTCAAGATCTCTCACGGAGTTCTACAGAGTTGGATTGAAACTTTGGAGAGAAGCAAATACTGTACATACCGAGCAATTGGACTCAGAAAGCATTCATATAAAGCAGCTGAAGGATCTGCTCATGCTACTTGTCATCCATCAATCGAAACATGGCAGCACCGAACTGAGGCTAACCAGCAAATGATCAACGAGTATTCCATTACAGAGTAGAAAGAAAATGAAAGAATGCTGAGCTCTATCTTCCTTTGGATGAAAGCTTAATCGTTTGACACTCCGGAAGCAAACTAATCGGAAATGCTTCGAGATTTAAACGTTTCCCAAGAAATGCAGAGGTTTAGACGAGATATTGATGCACGGCTTATGCGATACCCCTTCATTCTCCTCAACTTATTTTGGGTAATATTTTCCTGGTCTTGGTTCCCACAAATGCAGCATCCGCCGCTGAGATTGTTAGAATTATTATGGGGGGGTTATTATTATTACCGTCAACCAGATTTCCTATCTTCTAACAAGGTTTGACATAGTGGATTCGCTGACCATTGACCAGGCCGTGTAGCCGTCAATCTAAATACCCGCACCACCAAATCTACGCTACTCGCATCATCAAACCAATGAACATCGATCTCGGCTGAGACAACAAAATGCTGGAGTGGGCGAAAAAGGAAGGAGATTTTGGAAAGACAGGAAGTTTCATACCCAAAGATACGAAAATTGGGTTGACGGTTGAAGATACGAACGATAGAACGATACCAATGCAAGAAAGACGGAATGAATGACTTTGCATTCGTATTTTCAGAACGAGGGAAAGGTGCACATGCTCTTTTTATATAGCAATGTCTTTCAATACTGCTTTTGATTCACGGGCATGGTAGTATGGTGTACGTCGCATTGCAGAGGAAAGAATGTACGGACGGCCAGGCGTGCCAGGGAAGATGAGAAACTTTTGGCGCGAACTACCTTCGGGCTGGGTAACGGAATGAGCATTGGGGAGCCCAAACGACTTAAGCCCTGTCATCCAGCCTGTCCAGCCTGTCCAGCCTGTCACGTCCCCTGTCAAATGCATGCTTGGTCGAATTCCAGTCATTTTCCTGTTCCCTGGATTGGTGAAATAGGTACCCAGGGAAGTTGTAAGCTGTAACATTGAGATGGAGTTGAAGGGTGCATGTATGTATTTGTAGAGACAGAGCACGGAGGGAGGGAGGATGTATCGATATGTGCGCCATTGGTAGTTTGTCATCCAGTCATTTTCCGATCCAGCCTTTCCACTCTGCTGAACACAACCTTTGGAACCTTCATTTGGATAGTGCTACATATAATATAGTGCTGTGTGTGATACTGACTGCCCCCGTGAGAGTGTGTTGCATTACATTACCACGCCAAAAGCGGGCAAGCAAGATCACGACCCTCACTCCCTCAATGCTCTGGTAGTGGCAGACTGGAATACACTCGGGCCCTTTGGATTGGTCTCTGGTGCTAGCAAATGAACTAAATTTCCTGGGGATCGTACAAGCAACAGGGCACAGCTTTTCTCCTCCCTTTCGATTGATTAATGGGCCCTGCTTGTGGACCGGGAATAATAGCGACTGGAACTGGAAGTGGAACTCGAACTGGCTAGGATTGTGATTGGGATTACCCAGCAATTCCTGACTATTATCTTGGTCGTGCAGAAGATAGATAGTTAATTCTCGACTGTTGTATCTCTTCTTCCTCCTCGAAAACTTGACACCAACTCGACTTCACTCGACATCACTCACTCGTCGACGACTCCATAGGGAATGAATGGCTTGAAGTGATTGAGAAGAGGCAGTCAGAAAATACAGAACATCTTTGTCGATCTCCTTATTGATTATTACACCCACACTCCGCTTCGAAGCATCGGGAAGATACTCCAGTGATATTCCATCGGGAACATTGGCAGATTACCATCCTCACCATCCTACCAACCTAAGCGTTCCTAAGCTTTCTAGCTTATGTTGAATGGTAGCCAACCATCAACACGGCCATTCCGATCTCAACATCCCTTCCAAAGAGAAAGCATTTGAGAAAAACAATTCATTCTTTCGTCTGGTAACTTCTGAAGCTACAGCATTCCTCACGATTAATTCCAGCCTCGGAAATATAGCAGAAGTTTGAAACATACATATCTAGGTACGCATCTGACTCGATAACGCATGGTCGCTTCCTTACGTTAACCTTCCGATAATGTACCCATTAAACTGGGTGTCGGGACCAAGAATTAACTTCCCGGTCACTGGAAGCTTAATGGCTCAAGGCTAACGACGGGAATATAGCATATATTGTAATTTTGTTGAAAGTCGGCACCAATGGCTGAACGAAACATCTCTATCGCTTCAAATCATTTTAGAGGGAGTGTGGACTCCAATATGGCTGCGTCTATAGGTCCCAAAAGCATGCCTGAAATAATTACGAGGACGACCAAAGGAGGGAGGAAACTGAAATATACGTTGACCGTGATTCAACAACCTGAGCGTGCGAGAGCATGTGGCTCGGGAGCAAAATGTATGTTGGGCTTTCTTTCAGTGAAGGGGCCAAATAATTGTTGCGGAGACTGATACCGTTCTTAGCATCCGCCGATCGACGTCCAGTCGACCCTCCTCCCGTCGTGCAACTTCGCATTTACGATGAAACCGATCCTCGACAAGAAAAGGAGATAACATTCCACTACAATGCAAACTTCTTCCTCTTCGCAACTTTGGAGGTAGCTCGGAATATTGCTCAAGGTCGTGTACAAACTTCGGCCCCTCAAGCACCCGTTTTGACGGGCATGCCAGTGTCTGGAATGGCCTACTTGGACAGACCCAATGAAGCTGGATATTTCATTTTCCCCGATTTATCTGTTCGACACGAGGGCCAATACAAATTGAGCTTCAATCTCTACGAGGAAACAAAAGAGGAGAAGGATACCGACATCGAACCTTCGAACGATCCAAGTATGCGAAAGATGTCGAGCGCTGCAGCCGCTGCCGAATCGTCTTTTGATTGGCGCATGGAACTCAAATCTGATCAATTCACTGTATACAGTGCAAAGAAATTCCCTGGTCTTTCCGAAAGCACTGATTTGAGCAGAACTGTAGCGGAACAAGGTTGCCGTGTTCGTATTAGACGTGACGTGAGGATGAGAAGAAGAGACACAAAGCCTGGAGGGGACTTTGGTGAAAAAGAGGATGAATATCAGCAAGGAAGAGCTACATCTCCACCATTCGATTACGCTATCCAAGCTGCGAGGCAAAGAGCTCTGAGTGCAAGCGTTCATGAGGATCCACAACAGAGGCGTGGATCAGGAGAAATCTCACCATATCATTCGCCTATTGTAACTACCCCATTTCGTACGCCTTCAATTTCTCCATCGACACCCAACGCCTCTCTTCCTGGTGGTAACCACCTTGGCTGGATACCGAATGGACCTGGCTACGCCGCTGCTCCGAGTATCCAACCTCCACATCCACCACCGCCTCCACCCTCATCCTATCCACAGCCAGTGCCAGCTACTCATCCTAATCAAGGCCCATCGACACAATTTCGTCAGCAACCTCCTCAAGGTCCACCTCCTGCACCTACTAGATTCGATGAGAGGCGATCTTCATATAGCCAATTTCGTCCTTCCACAAACCCTCCTCACCAGCAATCGTATGAACCAGACTACCGAAGAATGTCCTTTGGATATCAGATCCCTGCTGCACCCCAAGGCCCTCAACCAATCGCCCCTGCTGTTCAGAACCCAGCTTATAATCAACAATCAATGGAGGCTCCTTATAGCCGCAATCCTCCTTCTGCATACTCAACTAGCTATCAGGATTCTGTCGCTCTCGCACCACTGAGAGGCGATCAGCCTACAGCCATGTCTCCTCTTGCTTCGGTAACGACTATTTCACGTGGGACGCAAAACTCAGCGCCAATATCAAGCCACAACTACAACAAGTTGGAGAGATCTGGGTCTTACAGTCAATATGCTCCCATCGAGGCGGAGCCATCAAAGTCGACTAATAAGAGAAGCTACAATGATGTTTTCAGTACTCCTACTGAATCATTATTCAATGGTAGACGACCAAGTGCTATTTCTGCAGAAGACGAAGAGGAAGAAAGATCCAGATGGCAAATGACTTATAGACGAGCCGATGGCAACATTCACCAGAAACCCGCTCCCGGTCTCAACTAAACTGCACCAAGCTCAAAAAGTCTTCAGCAACAGCGTCAGTCACGATTTTTATAGAAAAGGCGTCGGATTGACTTTTTCTCTGCACGCCTTTGAACTTTTTCTACACCAATTTTTAAATATACGATTCTGAAGCTGATTTTTACGATACCAATTTGATGGGTATATATATACCTCCAACTTTTTACAATTCTTTTTCTATACGATTCGCGATGGTGTTGTTTACACGTATTTTCGCACGCTTCTGGAAAAGCATACATGGCACTTCTCCTTATGATATCTAGATGGTGGGAAGCATTGACTTTCTGATACCGTTGTATTTCTTTTGTTGGTATATTGAGCACATGTGGGAAATTTGCAATGGATGAATGGGATGAGGGGTAGCGGGCCGAGAAAGAAATCCTGTAATTTATGGACTTGAAAACGGAGATGAGAGAAGTAGACCCCTTTCCCGAATGAGATGGATGGAACGAAATGGAATGGAATGGGATGGGATTGCATAGAGTTGAATACCTACCTACCTAGTACCTACCTACCAACCTACCTACCTACCTATATGAAATGAAAAGATTAAAATTGGAGAACTTTACAGAATGAACATTAGAGTAAATATGGACAACTATTCTATAATCTGTGAATATATGTCATAATTATCTACTCATTTAAGCACAGATGAGCTGGCCCCATGGATTTCAGGGCTGAAGCCGTTACTGTAGATACGATGCAGGTACAATGTATATAGTACGACTACTAATGAACTAATGCTCGACATGCACACTTAGGCATATAAACAATGGCCTGCATGAGATCATCGAGGAGATTGACAACGTGGAAGACGGTTATTTGGTGGTGGGTATGAGCTATTAGGGTTAGATTTGGATGTATTCTTAGAGACTAATAATGTGTATTTATGTAACACATCCATGACAGTATTGATACGGTGTTTGCACGTCTTTGACCGTAAGAGAGTAGCTAAAATAGTTCAAAGTTAATGATTGACAGGTGAAATGTAGATGGCAGCTTGAAGGTAACGGTAACAACACACAGCTAGCGAACGAATAGCTAATAGCTAAGAGCTAAGAGCTAAGAGCTAATAAGAGCTAACAGCTAACATCTAACGGCTAATAAGAGCTAACATCTAACAGCTAACACCAGCAGTACAATCCGTACAATGATGAGTGAATAAAACAGGTGAAGAAATCCTTAAATGCGCCCTACCTCTTGCATCCATCAATGTATAACTCCACGCGCGTAGAATTGAATGGCTGGGATCGACCGCGTATACATCCCCATATGTAACTGTGTATAAACTAATGTCTTGGCAACGGTTCTTCGGTTTATTGACATACTAGTAAATTGCCTAGGTTACTAGGTTACAGGAACCTCCTAAGCTTAACCTTAGCCACTCACTTTTTTTGTTTACTTTCTACTCAAAGGAGAGTCAAAACTCGAACTTGCACTCGACCTTCCCCTTCTTGACTCAACTCAACAACGTGTTTCCTGCGTGTTCATGCAGCGGTGAGACTAATTTTATAACTCCCCGTTTTTCGTATGCAACCTGCACGTTGATATCAACAAGAAAAAGGAAACACTGCGAATCAAATTCCAATTAATGCGCGAAATCCTTCGAGGATTGGGAAGACTTGTAAGACATTCTGATACGCTATTCAAGCTATCTGGAAATAGAGGTGCATATTCAAATCATATTGATCACCTTTATTTTCCCCTCTCAATTTCAGCTCTCGTTTTCGATCTTCTTTCTTCTTCGCGACCCTTTTCGTCCTCGTCCTCGTCCTCGTCCTCCGCCGTCTCCTCTCTCGCTCTCTCTTCCTGCGTAGAGTTCGACAAGCAATCACCTTCATTTGAGCGCGTCAATGTCACCGTGTTAAATATCCGTACTTGAGGATTGG